ACACACAGCAAACAATTTTTTCGAATAACCTTTTGAAAAGTAGTAATCATTTTTCCCTGCATTGACAGGATAACAATAAAAATATTCAACTTCATATAATTTACGGCTTATTTTCATCAATCTTTCATTAGCAAATTAGAGTTTAACTTCCACTACCCTATGCTCATTATAGTCTCTCTTACGATGGTGAGTCCAATTAATAGAACCAGCACTGATTTATTCCCTATTCTTCCCAATAAATCGTGCAAGTGAATTAGCACCAACCAAAGGCAACGTGTTTATTACTCTAAATTACTTTGTCATTCAGTATTAGGTTCATCGATCGTCAACGGCAACATATTTATTATTCCTAATAATTTTGTTATTCTTCATAGAGTTCATCAACCAACAAAGGCAAAATATATATTGCTCTGAATTATTTTTTCATTCAATATTGAGTTTATCAACCGACAACGGCAACATATTTATTACTCTGAATAATTTTTCATTCATTATAGAGTTTATCAACCAACAACGGCAACATGTTTATAACTCTGTAGAATTTTCTCGTTCAGTATAGAGTTCGTCGACCAACAACGGCAACGTGTTTATAACTCTGTATAATGTTGTCATTCAGTATAGAGTTCATCGACCGACAACGGCAACATATCTATTACTCTGAATAATTTTACCACGTTTTTCTTAGCTTCGTTTCATGTCTGCCTGTCTGTCATCAGAAATTCAAACCTTAATTTAGAGCTCTTCTGAACATCCTAGAAACATGAAATTTGGCATTCATGCTTATGCTGCCTAACAATTCAAGATTTGTTCATCATAACTAATAATTAAAAAACAAATTTAGAAACAAAAATTAAAAAAAAATAATAATAAAAAATGAAAATTCACGTTGGGAATGGGGTTATTTTTCGAATATCCAGACTTGCCAACCCTGGAAATTGATTTGAATTGCTAAAATTTCTAAACTAAAAAGTAGCAAATAAATATAAAACCATTTTTAAAACCACGCTTTTTTGATTTTTACAAAACTAAAAATAATGAAATAAAACAAATAAAAAAACCTTAATATTATTCAAAAAACTTAATGTTTAAAGTTAATGTTTTTTTCTTTTTTGTCCGTTAAGAAAACGTGATTTATAAAAGTTTTTTTATTTGTTTTATTTTAATTCATTATAGAGTTCATCAACATATTGCTCAGTGGTGGCGATGAACCTCAAAGAATTAACGTTTTTTTGAATAGTTAGGTATTTAATTCTGTGAGATTGTTATCTCAAGGTTATAAGCAAAGGATCTTTACAAGTCTAATTATCCTAACTATTAAGCCGAGAGGCGCATAAGAGTTATCTGAGAGCAATGATGAGAGTAGCGACGTAATGAGAGGAGTCGCGAGAGGAGAAGGACTCCGCTGTGCCCAAGAGGACGGACAACAATACTTACAATTAACACCAATGACTGAATAATCTGACTATATTAGCACGATATAACCTTCACTAAAAACAAATATAGAACCAATAGTTAACCTCGTCAAACTCATACCTTAGAGTCGTGCTCTGCAGCCTCAGTAGCTCAGACCACCTCGCAGGGAAATACAGGACGAAGTGCTTCTAATTCTATGACTAGGCTCAAAGAAAGGTTGCATGCCTGTCAGTAGTACGGAATGGGCTTACAATACTACAAATTCCATTATACGAGCTTCGAACCCTTATGTGTTTACTTCCGAGAATAAACGTTTTGGAGCATTACATTTTAACATCCAGGAATCAAAGTTTCGAACCCTTTGGTCTTTACTTCCAGGAATAAACGTTTCGTTCCATTGCTTGTTTTATTTCCCCAAATGAACTATTTTGAGTGGGAATTGAATTTTCTGCCATATGCTTCTTATTATTAATTATGGTGAAAAACGATGCAGTTTGGCAGCTGATGACTGCGATGTCTGTGGTGCTAGAGCCCACTCGGCCTCTTAATAATTTTCCAGATGATTGCTAAAATTAAATACTGCCGCTAAACAAAACGACATTTCATTCTAATACAACCAATAATATGTCCTTTCAAATGAATAAAAATAGTTTGCACGTGATCAAAAATTTCAAAGTTCTTTCCTCTATCTATGACTTCCATTAAAATTAGCATGCAATCGTCGTCTTCGTATAAGAGCTTCGTGAGAGTTCTAATATTAGATGCTACCTCTCATCCACAGAGAATCCAATCCAATATGATTCTTTTAATGTAAATTTGATTGAATTAGTTCGGCTCTTACGTGGACGTCATATGGATTATGCCCCTTTCTCTACATGATTCTCTGCATCAACCACGCTGAGCGGCTTGTAGCGGAAACTTGACAGAGTTAATTAACTGGATGGAAATGATAGCGTCTAGTTATGTGAAATTTAATGTTTAGCTATGTACCCTACAATACATAATAAGGGAAAATTATCATTAAAATTATTTAATTCAGTTAAACACAGCTGCTTATGATCATATTCTGTTAAGTTGGATAAAAATTATTATTTTGATATTATGATATTATGAATGATATGATAAATGATATTATCAATTCTTTTAAGTATAAAAACTCGAGGGCAATCATAAGTACTAAAAAAATCCAATAATAGTCTCAGTAAACAGATAATTAATAAGGGATCACAAGGAAATCATACCGGTAGTTAAAGTCTACGGTAACATTGCCCAAGATTTTAGTATCTTCACAATCAGCCTTCACGATAAACAAAAATTTTCTATAAGAAAAATTGTACGCGATAGTTTAATTTAAAATTTTCTACAAGTTTTGGACTCATTATTTCATCTACAATAATTTATCCGATCATTTATTTTGAAACTGTCAATCAACAAGGGTATTTCTCTCGGAATTATGAGTTATTGTTGGTTTTGAAAAATTGTGGAATCGACGTAGCAATTTTCTTTTCAACCTAACATTTTTATGATGAAGGTATTAGCTCAGCTGGCAGTGATACTTCCAATCGTAACTTTACTTGCTGGTTTGGTCGAGCAGCATTGTTGTCGTAGCGGCAACTTATCCCCTGGAGTTATTGTCGCTGGAGCTTTTCCCAAAGCACTACTTTTCGCTATCTCTTCCCCGCATCATTATTTTCTACGCCATTTTGAGTTAACGGAGTAATGAAACTGTGTCTTTACGTATCTTTAAATTTATGAAACGAACTTCAATATTGAACTCAGAGGTTTGGCCGAGACTATACATTTTACATTGTCTTATGTAGCACTTCTCACTCGTCAAATTTAAGGCTGTCGACGTAGACTTTCTGTGTATCTTCGATACAGTTATTGATATAATATGTTTGAAATAATAATGCTTCTATTCATGGTATGGGTTCCAACTACTGCCAGTCTTATTAGTTTCATTGGTTTCGTCATTTAGTGACTAATATCGTGAGAATTATTTGCCATTTTGTATATAGTCTATCATTTCTTAAAATCTTCTTATGGTCTCTTCCATGTGCCACTAAAAATTAGGCGCATTTATGATATTATGACATTTATTTTCGATATAGAATAATCCACAAACTCAATCAAGTGCCAATTCATTTCAATTCATCAATTTCGATCTACGTTAAAACATTCATAATACCGAAACTTTTTCATGCACACAGAACAAAATTCCTCCAAATAACATTTTGAAAAGTAGTAATCATTTTCCCATGCATTGACAAGATATCAATAAAAATATTCAAGTTCACATAATTTACGGATCATTTTCATCAAACTCTCATTAGCAAATTCAAGTTCAACTTCCACTACCCTATTCTCATTATAGTCTTTCATACGATGGGAAGTCCCAATAGAACCAGCATCGATATATTCACTATTCTTCATAATGTTATCGTGCAAGTGAATTAACACCAACCAACGGTAACGTGTTCATAACTCTGTATAATGTTGTCATTCAGTATAGAGTTCATCGACCGACAACGGCAACATATCTATCACTCAGAATAATTTTGTCATTCAGTATAGAGTTCATCGACCAATAACGGCAGCATATTTATCACTCTGAATAATTTTACCACGTTTTTCTTAGCTTCGTTTCGTGTCTGCCTGTCTGTCATCAAAAATTCACACCTTAATTTAGAGCTCTTCTGAGCATCCTAGAAACATGAAATTTGGCATTCATGCTTATGCTGGGTAACAATTCAAGATTTGATCATCATAACTAATAATTTAAAAAAATTAGAAAAAAAATTTAATAAAAAAAATTCACGTTTGGGAATCGGGTTATTTTTCGAATATCCAGACTTGCCAACCCTGGAAATTGATTTGAATTGCTAAAATTTCTAAACTAAAAAGTAGTAAATAAATATAAAACCATTTTTAAAACCACGCTTTTTTATTTTTACAAAACTAAAAATAATGAAATAAAACAAATAAAAAAACTTAATATTATTCAAAAAACTTAATGTTTAATGTTAATGTTTTTTTTCTTTTTTGTCCGTTAAGAAAACGTGATTTATAAAAGTTTTTTTATTTGTTTTATTTTAATTCATTATAGAGTTCATCAACCGAAAACGGTAAATTATTGACACAGTCAGTCATCTTTCCATGCATATTCAAGCAGCAGCGATCCCTGGTCTTTTAATGCCTGCATTTACGCCAGTTTTGCGAGCTTGAGCTCAAGTTCAGCCTCCGATGTCATGTCGTTCTCGCTCAATTATCGTCCCAATGGAGAGCATTTGTAAGTGGTCGCCAAGTAATTGCCTTTATTGAATAAGTCTTAACTGGATCACGACCATGCGTGTTCATGTTCAGGGCCTGTCATTGCTGCATAAATGAATGAAGTTATAATCACGTAATTCAGTGCGTGCTGGATATGAAAAATAGTTGGGGAATTTTAACTTGAATTTTAAGGTTTAGAAAAGAAAATGTTTGTGAAGTGACTCATGTCGTAATTGTACAATATTTTAGACGTTGAATTCATTTGAGCAAAAACATGAATGAAATTTAGAATTTCACTTTTTCGTTTTTCTCTACAGCTGGTGATCGAGATCAACTCGCAGGTGGCACTGTTCAGGGATCTATTGATCTGCATAGGATCAGTTCGGGACGGTCCGGAGCTCAGGGAGAAGATCCGGAAAGTTAGAAGACAGTGCGTGGAGGCCTGCAAACACGCAGCCGCTATTTTGCTACCTGCCATCAAAAAGTAAGCTTTCTAAGCTCAAACGAAACTTTACCTGCCATCAAAAAGTAAGCTTTCTAAGCTCAAACAAAACTTTAACGTGAGTAACTTCCGTGAAGCTCAATTTCGATGGCCGAACTTTATCATGTTTCCATTGGCCATCCATTTGTGAGTTTGGTGCTCCAACTTTGGTTGCCTTTATAAATTGCGATACTTTTGAACTTCTGCATTTTAGAGGCTATCTTACATCAATGGATGGTATTTTCGTGACGCTTAACTTGGCTTAACTGAATTTAGTATTTAATCATCAATGGTGTGGCACAGTTTCCTCAGTCCTTCAGCAAGGCTAGTTTGGACCAGAGTTTTGTTACTATTTATTTCCGGCATTGGACCCCGTGAAATGATCGAGCCATGGTCCAAGAATAATTCACGATCTCTAGCCAATAGTCGTTTTGTGGGTCATTCTGACGTAGTTTTATCAGGTTAAATTTCTACTTTTTATCATTTTATAACTTCGACAGCTGCATGAACACTGACGCACACATATCACTGAGAGCGACAGTGTCACAGTTAAGTATAGTCAACTTACCCTAACTACGACGACCCACTCAATCTTGACAAGTTAGCTGCAAGTTTAACTACGTCAAAAGGCAGTATCCTTGTCTTGGGTAAAGTTTAAGCAGTCTTGGTGTAGCCTAACCTCATGAGCATATATCACCAGACTGCCATGATTTCCCCAGAGTGTTGAACATCTTTTGTCCTCAGCGCGTCTGTTTGCAGCGGTGGCAGCGCCACAATCTTTCTGAGAGACCTTTGTGGTAATCTTGCTCATTAAAACTGTAACGGAATTAAATTAAAACTTTCAAATTTGAGGGAATTTTGTATTTGGGAAGAAAAAATATAATTTCTGTGTGAGCGTTGCCACGTTTCCACTTCCATAAAAATATATTTGTTTATTATATGCCATTTGCTTTGACCTGATATTAACACTGGGAAAGTCTACGACTGGCAATAATCAATGGAATGATCTGTGACCAACGATTATTATTGGGATCATTGGGACATTGAGATCACCGATCATTCACATGATCTTTCACATGCACAGATCATGGGGATTAACTTTCACCTGCGATGGTCAAGAGATGATATCCACCAGAATAACCATTGATGATTTTTGCAGCGACGTGGCAGAAGGCATCCCAGTAGACAATCAGAACTTCGTGCACCTGGTCAGCTGCACGCAACTGCTTGCCAGGGAGCTGAGGAAATGTCGGAGACTTGTCTGCGCGATGCCTGTCGACATGACCGAGTATTATGGTGAGTTGACATGACCGAGTATTGTGGTGAGTTGACATGACCGGGTAATGGCGAGTTGACATGACCGAGTATTATGGTGAGTTGACATGACCGAGTATTATGGTGAGTTGACATGACCGAGTATTGTGGTGAGTTGACATGACCAAGTATTGTGGTGAGTTGACATGACCGAGTATTGTGGTGAGTTGACATGATCGAGTATTATGGTTATTCGACGTGACCGAGTATTGTGGTGAGTTGACAAGAACGAGTATTATGGTGAATTAAATGTCAACAAACGCATTTTTCTAATCATGTTCCGAAGCCATTATATATTATGACCACATACTGTACTTAAAAGATTTACAGGCTACTCACCAAAAACCCAGGGCGAGAACTATATGATATAAAATGCTGAACATACCCATTTGACTTTGAAATAATTGCGTGTGTCTTGAGCTCATCTATGGAAGTTCCACGTATTTAACAAGGTGTTCGGCTGGAAGCCTCATGAATTTGGCGAAATTGTTCCTCGTCATTACTAATAATAGCTCAATATTAATTTATACTATTCTAGTTTAAGAATAATTTGTATTGTAGTGTAAAGTAATTCCTAATTATAATTTAGGACGAGAAGCAGTCAACAACAAGACGATGGTGTCGAACAATGAGTTTCCGCACCATTTTTTGTAGAGATAAAGCTCAGTTCCTTACACGGCACTTACTCAGTGCAGCGGGCATGCTAAGCCTCTAGTCTTTTGACTGATGACTTTGAGACAATACTGGAGTGTGAGGAGAAACTAAAGTAATCAACAGAAATTAACTAAAGAGAAGGGACTTAACGAAAGAGCAGGGACTGAACTAATGAACATGATCAACTAAAATAAACATGCCACTTTTCTTCTTTGTATTCACGGCATGGATGAGTTCCAATAACTAAACACCAATAAACTAAAAACTTCATTTTAGGTCATGTTATGTTGTGTTACGTTATGTCATGATTTTATAGTTCATAATTCTTTCAGACAGTAAAAAGTAATTCCATCATAAATCAGCAGTCTTGCACTCATTCAACGAAATTCTTAAAGAAATTGGTTTGCAATCTTCAACGTACCTCAAATTCAACGTACGTATCTCTGCCCAAATACCGAAACTATAGGCCAACGGGGACCGACTAAGTTTGGGAGTAATCATTGGTTTCTCAGAGCTCGCCAGCTGTCTGTACTTGACAAACAATTCTCTCGATCTGATGGCTGATCACCGCGAACTTCAGAGCACAATGCTATTCGTACGAGGCGCCTTTTGGTGGACAATATAACGAACTCGAGGCCGAACGACCGCCACATGCATACGCTTGGCAGCAGATGCGAAGGCCGTTGATGGTCGCGGCCGAAATTCTGTGTTGGTTCAGAGCTGTGTTGACCTCAGCCTCCTAACTTAATTGAAATAGATTCGCATCAAGTGATGCCTAGTTTATTTTCACCGCACTTGAAAACTTTAATGACACGAAAAGGTATATTTGCTACGAGCTTATATAAGTTCCACCACAAGCACCCCTCTGCCATTGTTCAAATTTCAAACTATCTACATTTATATTCTAAAACAAAATACGAATTTCAATTAAACTTGTATCACTAACTTTGCAATTGCATTTCATTAAATATCATTCATTTGTCAAGGCAAGACACTCCAATAGTCCTGCCTTGCCTAGCCGCGGTGGCTGTTTTGACGTTCCTGTATTGAAGTTTCGTGATGAATTGAGTGCGTCGTCACCGGAGCGCTCGATCTTTCGAACGCTTCTGTCAACACTGCACACAAGTTCCTCCCACACATTCACTCACTCTCTTTCATGATGAATGGAGTTCGTTTATTAAATCTCTCGAACGCTTCTCTCAAGACACTTCACAAGTTCCTTCCTCATGCTCCTCACATTCCTCAAGTTCCTCACATTCCTCACATATCTCACATTCCTCACATTCCTTACATTCCTCACATTCGTGACATTCCTCACTTTCCTTACATTCCTTACATTCCTCGCATTCCTCATATTCTTCACATTCCTCACATTCCTCACATTCCTCACATTCCTCGCATTCCTCACATCCCTTACATTCCTCACATTCATGAAATTCCTCACATCCCTTACATTCCTCACATTCATGAAATTCCTCACGTTCCTTACATTCCTTACATTCCTCACATTCCCTCTCATTCTCTTTCATGTGAACCACGACCCTCGTGAATGCTATCTCCAATCAGGTCCAGGCTTATCCTTTTGTCATTAAATGAAAAGCAAGTGAGCTTTCCAGATAACATTGAAATGCAGGGTATGGCTATATCTTATCTAATTTTTTTTTTTATAAAATTTACATGGTTCATTCACCATAAAAACAATTTATAAATACACGAATACCACATATTCTTAGCCAAGATTTGAATTAGTGATCAATCTAAACTTCTTCAAGGTATTCAAGCCTATATTTTCCAGCTAATCTAACCGCTTTTTTATGTTCAGAGTTAACATTGTTAAATTTTCAGTTAGCTCTCCTTCAATATGTGCTGTACATGCCAGAATAGCATTCATGCATTATATGTTAATTGTTTTTACAGCTTTAATTTGAATTCCGCGTGATGCTAAATTGTTTAATCATTAAAGTTGTTTTGGCATTTACTCTGCTATGGCTTAAATCTATTTCATCTTTTGTCGTGCAAAATAGCAAACATTTTTCAATGGATATTCCATAAACATTGAGCAATAAATTTCTCAGACATTCCTCACCGGGCGGTAATTATTAATTTTAATCACATTCATCACTCGCAAAACCTCCACCTTCTTCTGCTGCGTGAATATTGCACGCAGTGCGTGTCCATGGCATCATGGCTCGTTATTCATCCATGCTTTCTCACTTTAACTCATCCATTCTTCAACCTGATTTTCTAACTTTGATGTAAATGTGACTTTCTGACTTTGATGTGACTTTATATGTAAATTCTAGATTTTACGAACTGACGATGGAGCTGGACTCCGAAACGTTTTCTATAAAAATATGAATTTATGTGGACTATTCTTTCTTTTAAATTTTTAGTTACCTTGCGAATTAATTAAGCAAATAAGTGATATCAATTCTTCAACCTCATAACAGAGGATGAATGGTCGCAGACATTACGGCTCTCCAGGCCGTACCAGTCGCTATTTTAGAGCGCAAAAAAACTCGAAAAACTAATGTTTCTCAAACTTGATATGCCAGCTCAGCCATCAGAGTGTATTCCAAGCTGTCATGCAAAGTATAGCCGATTGTATTAATAAATAAATTAGCACGAACATTCCAGCGTGAAAATATTTTATTTTATTGACATAATTGACTGATGTTTTTGGAGTAATACTTGAGTAACATCGAAGGAACTGTGTTGGCCTCAGTCAAGTGCTGCCCTCAGTCAAGTGTTGCTATCAGTCAAGTGTTGCCATTAGTCAAGTGTTGCCATTAGTCAAGTGTTGCCATTAGTCAAGTGTTGTCCTCAGTCAAGGGTTGCCCCAGTCACGTGTTGCTCCTTACCAAGTGAGGTCCTCAGCCAATTGTGGTCCTCAGTCAATAGGCTCAGCCAAGTATTGTCTCCAGCCACATGCTGCCCTCGGAGCTATACTTGTGAAAGACTCTCATCTTTAGATTATGGACTTGCATGAACACATTTTTACCTCGGTTTTAGTAATGTATGATATCCCTGCTCCTTTCAAATCATTCATTAATCACACAATTTCATATTATTTGCCTGAAATAATTGCGATATGACAACTGTTATTCTTCACATGCGAGATTGATGTCTATATTCGAATTCGATAGCACGTAGATATTGATTTGAATTAGGATATGAGCACACTCTTGACTAAACTCTTCGGCTACGTCCTTGACCAATAACCATTCGAATATCTAAAAGTGAGATTGGTGTATTTTATCGATTTATAATAAATTTGCAGAGTTTCAACCTTTGTAGACTGCAATTGTTTGATATAAAGTTTCAGCTATTTCGTCATTTTTTGAGTGTTTAAAATGGATCATGGTCTAGAAAGAGCATCGTACCTTTCGGATGAGACTCCAACATAATCGTAATTCTTGGTCGTCTTTTATCCAAATAAAGAATGTTAACCTGCCTAGTTTTATTCAATAAATGACTTGAAAACTCATTTTTGTGAGCCGGGAAATACCTGTTTCGTCGTTGTTGAGTTGCTTTGCTAAGTTAGTCGTATTTCAGCTGGCGGTTCCTTTCAAATTAAGGGGAATTTACGTAATGTGTTTGAATCTTTTGTTGTTGTTATGGGAAAGTTGCAGCTCGGGGAAATTCTCTCAAAAAAGGTTAATGAAGGGAATTACAATTTGAATAGAAATGCGTTAGGGGCAGGGTGTTACACAGCTCTCAGAAATATCAATTTCCTCGAACTCTAATACTTTGATGAAAAATTAAATCGAATTCCAAATGATGTTTTGATGTTCATTGAACTATTCAACATACGCTGCATTAGACAAATATCGTACTCGTGATTTTATAATATTTTGAATTCTTTACAGATTTCTAACTTCTAGCGTCTCTTCTTATTCTTTTTGCATGGTAATCACAATCTGTTCCTAGCCGTTCAAGAAGTTGTTGACGAGGCCTTTTAAGATGCGAGCAATTTTCCACAATACATGCAATTCACTCAAACCAAGCCTCCTGAGAAAGTTAAGTCTTCAAAATATTCTTCCCTGCAGGTCCCGAGTCTTCCCTTCCGTCTAATCTCACCCACATTCAGAGGATGAGTGAGATTTTGTACAAAAATTAATGCACTTTTGCCCGCTATGGGTCATCTTGAACGGGTTTGACGGGGCAAAAAGGCGTGTCAGTGCAACGTGCGTAACGTGCATCACTATTGAGACAGTTTGACCAATAAGTTTTTCTAACTGCAGGAAACTGGAAACCAGCGTCAAAACGAAGATTTTCGAAAGCTCAAAAGTTTGCTCCGACGTTTGCTTTAGGAAGGCTGGATCCTGGTCCATTCCGTGATTGCATTTGTCATTCTTAAAAACTGTGGCAGTTCGTTGACAAGGGCAGCTTCCTGCTTCCAATTCTGTCTCCGATAATATGCCGGCCTCGGATGAGGCACTACCTTGGCTCTTTTCGTCGCCATTTCATCATCACATCAATATACGCTGAGAAAATATATAACACAAGTTTATTAACTTGAGTGAATTTAGTAATTGTTCTTGTGTAAATTAAGCGAATTCGTAGGAATTTAATTCGTTTTGAAATTTAACCCCGAACTTCAGCTTAGAGAATAACACAGACTTCAAATACAACTATATCGAAATGAAAGAAAGATATGAAAGAAATGAAATTCTTCTTTTCAATCATCGTCACTCTAATTTACGCTAATAAATCTGCTACTTTTTTCCTTACTTTCTAAGCTACCTCATTCTCTTCATGACATAAATTCATAATCTCGTACATGATCCAATTTGGTCTCCAGCATATAATTTCACATAATGATACAATATCATATCCATAATATAATTTTAAATCGCTGAAGTAAATTAACATCCACCAGAAAATTTGAATTCAAAAATACAATTCAAAATCACTGAAATTATTTCGCCCGTTACTTTTATAGGTAAGAGACCTTTACTGGCCATTACTCAATTCTTTTTATAATTATCACGATCCACATTGAGCAATATTTCTCTGTTCTTCAATGAAGATTTTTTCGTCCATCAGAAAATAAGCCCGGGCCTTCTGGTATGGGTGGACTTGGGATCCTGTCCCAACTGCTGCTCTGCAAGTCCCTGCAGCCAGACTTCCACCAGGAGGAGATCTGCAGCCTCACCAAGGATCTCGAGGACATCGAGAACATCCTCAGGGATATGCTCGAGTTCATGCCTAAGGTAAAGCTACGAGTTTTTCGTTAGGGACAAGCATTAATTATTACAGTTCAATTATTTTGTCTCTATTGTTTATTTTCAATCATTTAGTCTCAATCGTGACGCCTTTTAATTATCTAATTTTTAACCAATTCAAACCCAAGGCTTATTAGTTTCTAGATCCCGTTCTCACCAATACATTAGTCTAGTGGAACTCAAGAACATACTATTTTTAAAAATTCACGAAAATATTTTGCATTTCATGGCAACAGGAAGACAGCGACTTACGCCACCTCGCACTCACGGGCGAAGACGTCTTCAGCCTGTGGAGCAAGAGACGCACGAGACGTTCCCTATACAGGAACATGAGCGTCTTCTGCTGCTCCTGCAAACCCACTTACATATAGCAGTTACCGCGGCCTGTGCTGCTCTAACTCCCACCGCGCAGCCCACATATAGCAGTTACCGCGGCCTGTGCTGCTCTAACTTCCACCGTGCAGCCCACATATAGCAGTTACCGCGGCCTGTGCTGCTCTAACTCCCACCATGCAGCCCACATATAGCAGTTATCGCGGCCTATGCTGCTCTAACTCCCACCATGCAGCCCACATATAGCAGTTACCGCGGCCTGTGCTGCTCTAACTCCCACCATGCAGCCCACATATAGCAGTTACCGCGGCCTATGCTGCTCTAACTCCCACCATGCAGCCCACATATAGCAGTTATCGCGGCCTGTGCTGCTCTAACTCCCACCATGCAGCCCACATGTAATAGTTACTTAATATTGAACATATTGGAGTCTCGGGACATTATCACCAAATTCGCGAACGATATCGCGCGACAAGTTCTGTCACGTTGTGGTGTTTAAGCAATTAACTGTTCATCTTTGGTGATTTGCATCAGGCTACTTAGGATGACAAAGCATCTAAGTATTTGCAAGAACATTTCTACAGACAATCGTTGCGTTTTACCAAATTTGTTTATTCCTCCGATGTTTTTCATCATATATATTATAGCTTGCGTGTGTTTGTTGTTCACGGGGAAGGGAAATGGTTTGAAATAAATTTTTATTTTAAATTTGGCGGGTATAAATTTTTCAAGAAAACTATTAACTGAATTCAGTACGGCTGGATTCGAGATGACAAGGTGCCAGATAACGTGGATATTATAATTGCAGGGAATCCGAGGCAACGCCTGGTTATACATTTTCTCTACACTGTCAAATAATATACAAAATGCTTGTTGATGATCCATTCAACTCGCAATGCTTTTTGCGTTGCATCAATATCATCGAAAAATGTCGAATAGTAAAAAGTTAATATTAGAAATGGTGAATTCTTTCCACAAGAGAATCCGAGATTATCACCTGATGCACCTGTCGGGATTTGGTGATCGGGCCAAATTACCTCACAGAGCTTGACGCTGATGTACGGAAACACAAGAATTAGAATAGACGCAAACAAAATGTACGTGGTATTCTGAGCTCGACTTGCGCTGCAGTATCACGACCGGGTTACAGGAGAGGTATTTTACCTGCAATTCATCCACGATCGCTTTGGAATTTTTAATCTATAATCTATAAGAAGCCATATTTGGGAATATAAGGTAAAATGTTCCATGAAAACGAACGGTAACTCGCATGGTTTGTTCCTCGGTGTTGGCGGTGGGAGTGGATGTGGTAGGGATGATCAGATGTTGGTGTAGCGTGTGTAGGGATGATCAGATGTTGGTGTGGCGTGTGTAGGGATGATCAGATGTTGGTGTGACGTATGGTGTTTTTGGTAGGGTTGTAGAATGAGTGTGGTGTATTGTGTTTGTATTTGATGGTCAGGCTATATTGTGGTGAGGGTATATGGTGGTATGGTGTACGTGATGACATGACTCATGTGGTTGTGAGTGTATGTGGTATAGTGCATGTAATTGTGATGGTGTAGGTAGGTTATGGTGTGTGTAAAGTAGGCAAGTTGTGTAAAGACCTTACCAAGCCAGAACTGGAAACATATATCCCTCAGACTGGACTGGAAACATATATCTCTCAGACTGGACTGGAATGTGATATGAATCATTCTCTTGATTGAGTCGTGTTCCGACAAATTGTACATTAAGGATTAGATTGAAAAGCCAATTGTTTTGTATTGTTCCTACGCTTCTTTCACGGTGGACCTCGTGACACTTGATAATATTTTGAAACGCACTATTATAAACAATATTTTAGCCTCCAATGCACAGTAATGTTGTAATCTTAATTTGTGTATCACCAGATGAAGTTGTGATCTTAATATTAGAAAAAATAATTATTGAATCAGCCGTAAGTTTTATTCATGTATTGCATGCCTAGATTTAACGCAATTATAAATAGGTTCCGAGAGTAATAATTATTATACGCTATTGCATAATTTAGAATGAGATATTAGCTCTTGTAACAATTTTGGTGAGTGACTAGAAGTAGTATTCGTTAATATGTAGTAAATAGGAGATTAAAGCGAATAGAGTTATAGCATCTTTTTTCCACTTTTATTGTTAAGTTTTTGAGCTTCAAAATTTTCAACCTGCATAAGTACCTACTAATTTAACTAATCTTGAATCCTGTAGACAAAGTCGAAACTTCTCAGTTCTAAAAAAAGTCATGTATTGATTGGTTAATAATAATTGAGGACATGGCAGATGAAAAAGTCAGTTAATCGATTTGTTAATAATTGATAGCCTGGCAGATGAAATTTACATAATAAAATAGCATAGGTCGTCCCATTCCCGTTCACACAGTAAAGTTTCAGCTGGCAGGAATAACCGCATCTATCCATGGTCATTATTTATTCCTATTGTTACTGGCGATACTTAGGCGAAGAAATGTGCCAAATTGCATCAAAATGTTGCGCATGTTGCTTTTATTATAGCTGCGCTGTATTAATAATTAGTAGTGGCCCTCATGATTAATTCGGTTAGCATGATCCTTGCAGATTGTTTTAGTAATGTATTCTAACTCAAAGTATCCCGATTTAACTTTTAATGTTTAATTCTTTCGTTTTGTTAGACTATCATATAAGCATGACAATGATTATTATCTAGTACTGTCAGTGTGTGCAGCTTTGCGCCTAAAGATTCCTCTATAAACTGAAATAGTTCAAATGGACTATAAATACTATACTCTGGTGATGGTCGACTTTGCAATAAATATATTTTGTACGTTTAATTCTTATCCTCTACTTATATATTTCGCATTTTAAACACAAGATATATGCCGGTTCTTTCGCTAACTCATGTTGTAAGTTTTATATCTAAATATTTGTAAGTTTTATTAGTGCAAATTCATTTAATATTAGCAATAGAAATTTCTCTGATTTTATGAAAATTATTACATGTTATGAGCTCAAATTACGACAATTACTGTTTTTGTTTTATAATATGAGCAGTTATATGACTGAATTCAGATGCTACCAATTCAAACAATACATATGCAATATAATATCTCAACATGCAACTCAAGAATTAAACTACTGATATTTATTAAATTCTTTGATGATAACCAAATAAATATTTTTCTCAAAATATAGATATTTCTCAACTTTCCGAACATGCGGAAAACATTTTATTCGATTTATTGCGAGTTGTGTTGTGTGAACAGGATCTTGGAGAGAGTCAGCTGCGTTCAAGTGCCAAAATAGAATGCTTCATGGAAATAGGCTCGAGACTACAAATGGAACCAACCATCACCTCACTGCTCACAGAACTAGGCCTCACCTCCCTATCACACTCACAATGACTCTCACACTCTTACAATGGAACATCCGCAGTTTTAGGTCAAACATCCCCTATAAAAATTAATGAAGAATGAGCATTAAAACAGAATAATCGATCAGCCGTTCATGCAGGCATTGCGGCTGCGGGGACGTCAGGACGGCCGACGGGACGGGAGGTTGGAAGCGAGGTTCATTGCTAAATGCTAATCACGTTCACCTGGATGCAGTAGGCCTAAATGCATCACTGACGCTTGACGGTGCATAGTCATGATAGTGGCAAACCAGAGATTTATTAGAATAAGTTCATTTTTAATTTCCTCATTTACTCAAGATTTCAACATATTTCTTAATAAATTCTTATGTATGATAATTCTGGTATCCAAGATACTTTACTGGTCTACTTATAGGACTCAAAAATGAACTTGAGGAAGAGTCTAAAAAACTCTCTGCTTTGCCACTATGGACTGCCGGACTGGCAAACCAGTAATTTTTTAGAATCAGTTGATTTATCATTTTTTTCTTCATTTACTAAAGATTTAAACCAATATCTTATGTATGATGATGCTGATATCCCACTTTCCAATATCCATGAATGATACTTTGCTGGTCTTAGTGGTCTAGTTACCGTCTACTTATAGGACTTGAATCTAACTTGAAGCAGTGTCTAAAAAAACTCTCTGCTTTGCCACTATGCAGTCGGATGGTGATGACCCGGCATCATTCAGATTTCAGATGATGATGATTCACTGTCATCTGATGATCTGAATAGGATAATCTGAATTTTGATAGCCTAGGCAATGGCTGATGCCAAAGCAGACACTGATACTATTTTGGAATCAGTTTGAATGTCAACTTGTCAAAGCCACCAAAAGGCATGCGATTACCCATGGCCATAGGCAGGAAGATGTGCTAGGTGCACAGGAATTTATGTCTTCAATTTTTCATTCTGCGTGCTGCGCAGTAATATGTCAAGAAAAAAATTCGCAGTGTGCCATTACTATTTATAGCTTATAGATTAAACATGGGTGCATGGCAACAACAATACCAGACATGCGGTGCAGTGGCAATGTACTTAGGGTATTAATAAATAATAACATATAGTTCAATCCCTTAAAAGTACAGAGACGAGAGACCACAGAACCAGAAGTTACCACTCTCACCAGAGTTGTAGACTAAGTAATAATGTCACTTGTTTGCTTGAATTGCAAATTCACTAAAAACTTGAAATCAAAAAAAAAAAACTCCACAAAAATTCATAGTAGGTATCTTTAAAGAAAACGTTTTGGAGTCCAGCTCCATTGTCTGTTCGAAAATTCTAGAACACAGATAAATCCAGTATGGAATTCTGAAAAGGTAATATATTATCATGTTAACATAATAAAATGTATCAAAAACTTACCACCTTACACCTTCCACCAAAGTGACAATTGATACTCATTACACTGAGCTCGTCAGATCAGAAACTGCGGACACCCGGACAGCCGCGCTTCCTTTATCTCGCTTGCGTGTGGTTCGAAAACCGATAAAAAGTCGGCGGCTCTTCCCAAATGCAAACGCTAGTCGTGTATCCGTATCAACAAATTTTTTGTAATGAATATGTTCCAAAATAAAATAAAAATTACGTCATCTTTCGCAAAAAGTTCTCATGATTTCATCGATACCCACAAAGTTCTCGAATCCACACGAAATGATGGGATAAACTGCTAAACTTTCACGGCGTATGGCAATATTGTGTTGACTGTTGACATTAGACAAGAGGGTGTCAGACACCTTTTTTTGGTCTTGTGAAGTTCGATTTCACAATAATTAGACTTGATCCACATTCCATACTGACATTTAAATGATGGAAATTTGTTTCAAATTATAAATACCAATTAATACGCGTCCAGACATACATTTTTTCATGTTTTTTGCCTATTTTGTCAATATTGTCTATATAATTAACTTCACCTCAGATTCTAAATGATTTCGTCTGCCATCCCGCGTTTTCGAACGTTTTGTGTCTTTTAGAAAATTTTCGTTGTTTAACATGGGAAACTATTTCATTATATAAAACATNGACTTGCAACTTCCAAGTGATTAGGTACCTACTTTATAGAAACTGAGCAAGTTAGTGACGTGTTTTAAGCCTTTAAGAAGTTCATTTTTTGCCTCAAGTAACAATGTTGGATCGAAAAAGTGGTCTTGGTGGATCGAAATAATATATGAACCTTCGAAATTAGAATTCCATCCTGGATAAATCAGTAATTAGTACAGGCTAGATTACAACAAAAAACCTAAGCTGTACAATGGACTTAGTAAAATCCTACGCTGTGAGTTGTAGATTTTTTTAGACTCTTTCTTTTTAGGCCTATGAGTGGACCAGTCAAGTATCATGCATCATGGATATGAGTATTACCATACATAGATGATAGATAGAATAGTAAATAAAATAAATAATAAAGCATAGAATCAGAAATTGGTTTCCAATTTCCAAAAAATCTCATGTTTGTCACTATTAGGTTTGCTGCAGGATTGGAATTTTCCTACTTATGAATGAAATCTTGCAGTTCCAAATTGACAATTTTTCTAGATATTTGCAATCTTGCTACCCAATCTTCTCATTTTGTTAATAATTAGGAGTTGAATATGAAAATCTGTTGTTGTTAAGATAATTATGCATACACTTTAATACAAAATTAAAATACATGAGTGTTATTTAGAAAAATCATGCATGAACATTTTTTGTTCTAATGAAGAACTTTGAATAATTTCTCTTTTCTCAGGTTGCATTTCATGACAGCAGAAAGCTATGGATGGTGCCAAAGTTGGAAAATATGAACATTTTCTAAATGATGTGCTTCGAGTGGATCTACAGTGAGTATTAATTTTCTACAAAGCCATTTGCAGTTATTACATTAGAATAGGGTAGGCTATTAATCTGTATCAGTTGCTCAATTAAATTATGTTTATTCTGTTTTTAGTTTGTATATTACTCAGTTTAGTGCAGGAACATTTACTGATGTGTTGCAGCTAAAGCCCCTGGGGTATTGGAAAAATTGTAACTAAATCAATAATTGTTTGGAGTATCATGTGATGTACCTATGTTTGCATTTATTGTCTGTTGTAATAAATGAAATCTTGTTGCCTATCTGATGTCTAATAATTTTTTCAGAAAAGAAGTAGCAAACCGAGACAGCATCTGTGAGAAAATTGCTATTTACTCCCAGCTTGGCCAAACAATTGACTGCATCACTAAAGTGGACACTACAGATGGCCTCCTAACACAAGTCAACATTGGCTCCAATTTTTATGTTCAGGCTCATGTGTAAGTTCATTAAGGCCCTGATTGAAAACCGAGAGGCTTCGAACAGACTCGGCTCTTCCCTAAGCGTTTCCTCACTAATTAGGATAGTCTTTACTCCACTCGCAAATGAGATGGCGATATGGATTTTGGTACTTACCCAGCTATTTATTTATAAGCGTTGACCAGTAACAAAAAATATGTAAACTTTGTATTAAAAAAGTTTTAATGAGAGGAAATTTCAAGAAACTTTGAAAATTATTGTTCATCATGTCTGCGACTTTTTTACTTTTTTTGAGATGTTAACGGGTTGTAATTTTTATTCTCCATTGAATGGTATACTCGGCATTCCTTGATCAGCCTCCTTGTTGTAGATATTTTCTACCGAAAAATAGTTATGATCAAGCCTGCTGATATGCGGAGGGAAAATCCTGCATACTAGCTGCTCTAATGGAGGCGTTGTGCAATGTTTGAGGGGAAAGAGATGTCGTAAATTACTCAACTGTCAGCTCACGACGGGTGGCATGGTAAAGGCGAAGTCAATGAGGGGCGAAGAATAATACGTGGCCAGTGGTCGGTCTAGTCCAATTAGTTATAGCCGACCGTTGGCCATCCCTTGGCCACCTGAAAGCGATCAGTTGCCGCGAAGAAGGGCCTGGCTAGGATATCATATTACAAAGAGTACAAGCTCGAGGGTAGCGACTGGCCGAGCTTTGGGCAGATCAAGGATTTTACACGATGGATGCAAAAACCCGCTCTCAGACTTTGCTGCCTTTTGACTACAAGCCTTAATTGCTACAAATTTTATATTATTTCCTGAAGTTCTTTATAGTAACTGAGTATTATCCATTTTGATAAAGGCAATAAAAATAAAATTTTTAGTTTGGTTGAAGCTAAAGCTAAAAACACAACTTTGAATTTTGCCTGCGACTTTTTCACTATTCCCAGCTTCTGAAAATGTCATATGTTCAAAATAAACATTTCAATGAATTACATTTTAATGCATTTAATTTCTTCAATAATTTTTATTTGTGATTATATGTTTTAATCCGATGAAATTTGCAGGCCTGATCCTTCACGCATTTATGTTGATGTTGGGCTGGGGCTGTATGTGGAGCTGACTCTGACAGAAGCTAAAAAAGTTGCTGAGAAGAAAATTGAGCAGAAGAACAAGGAATTGGAGGCCTCAAGCAAGCGATCTGTGAAAATTAAAGCTCAGATAAAGTTTGTTGTTGAAGCCCTGAAAGAACTGCATACTATACAACCTTCCTGTGACTGATTATTTCCTGAAAATAGCAGTAACACTTGTTTAAATTGAGCTCTGATACAATTTGTTATGTTACGAGTTTAGCTTTATTTGCTAGTGATATCATTAGTGCCTTTAATTCCTAAATAATTTTGAACTGTGATTGAACTTATCTGAGTTTACAATTTTGAATGTAATCATGATGGAGGAAATTAAAGTAAAAACGTCATCAGTAATATTGATAATTGTAATATCCACTGTAGTGTCATGGCTTCTACCGCTTTTACTGGGAAAATATTCTGACCTCACGTATCCTAGAATAGCCTTAGAACACCAGACCCATGAACTCATCACTATCAGTGACCTGTACAAAGATGCTAAATTAAAACAACCTAGTGCTGGTGGAAAAGAGAAGAAACTACCTGAGTGTCCAGCCCAGCCATCTGGACTTCAGGGCTTACAGTTCCTGCCTCCAGACATAGAGCGGCTCCAAGTTGAGGACGATGAGCTGTGGGCAGAGAAACTGTCTCGTGCATGGCACATCAAAAGAGGTGGATTGTGGCAACCATCACACTGCAAGCCACGTTATGCTGTGAGAAGAATCATCAGTGATAAGCCTCCTAATACTAAATGAATCATTATAATATTTTTCTATTTAGTTATTTTATCATTTGTTTCTATGTAATTTGGTCGAATTATACTCTGGATTAAGGTACGTATGTATGAGAAAAATCAACTTGTTGCTGTCCTAGACGACCAACTGCTTTATTAGATGACTTCTTTATTACCTATGTTGCAGTTCTCTTAATAATTGTTCATTAATAGATTAGCTCTTAACTGTTACTTTCATCTATATCTGTGTCAGTATATGTTCAATTAATCTTCCTGCTCTTTGGGAAGCATGCACTTACGAGAACAGTTTTGTTAAAACTAAGAGTAGAACTTACGTGTATACTCTTTATTCAGTGCTGGTCAAATCTAGATCAAATCTTTTTAACTAAAAAGAAATATCCTTGCCAAATTTTGCTTTGGGGCTAGTCACACATTTGCTGAAACATGAATTTAAAAGAAATTTTCTGCAATTACTAAATTTTTTTAAAACTGCAATTGCTGTAAAAAAAACTGCATTCAAACTTTGATAACAGTAAACTGCAATAAATACCTATACATGTTTTATTTACTGTTTCCAGGTGAGTGTGATTGTTTGTGTGCGCGACAGACAAGCTCAGCTGGAAGCTTTCCTCCGCCACATGCATCCATTTCTATCGCGGCAGCTGCTGCATTATAGGTTACTTATGATATTAGTTTAAATCATATCGGGTCAAGAACATACTATTTAAATTTATCTCTATGAAAATTTCCTTTTTTTTTTTGTATTTCTTAGATTTGTAAATACTTTGAAATTCATGTCCATTATTGGGTTATTTTGAAATGTCTTTTAGATATTTTTTCAGCCTAAAACGCTGTTTAGGTAGCACTTTGCTGCTGGTCCGCTAGTTAGCCCTTCTATATCCCTTTATTGAGAAAATATCCCCTTCCTGTCCTCTCATTCAGCCCTTTCTCTTATCCACTTATTAACATGCAGGATTGTGGTGGTGGAGCAAAACAACTCGCTTGCCTTCAACCGCGCCAAGCTGTTCAACATCGGCTACAAGGAGGCAATTAAGGCAGGCAGGGACGGCGCCGAGGCGCTCTGTCTGGTCTTCCATGACGTCGACCTTCTCCCGCTCAACGACTTCAACACCTACACCTGCACCTGGTCACCCAGACACATGAGTGTTGCTGTTGATTCTCTCAGGTTGGTTAACTAAAATATAATCGCTCATTTGTCGCCTTCTACAATAACCTTTGTCAATGCTATTCGTATAGGATGGACTGGTAACGAAAGTTACTGCTACTATATGCTTTACTGGGGTGCACTTACATATCATTAGTCCGCTCAAGTCGTAAGTTAACCAATATTTTGAATACAAAATACTAACTTGATTCATCAATAATTCACTGCATCGTTTTGGAGACCAGCTGCATCGTCAGTTTGATGACATTGTTAGGAACAACAATTCAATCAATAGAGACCAAAGTTTGAGTAGAAAAATTAAAACCCGTTTACCGGATAGATGAAATAAACGAAACGTATTATAATTTCTGTCCACGTCAGCTACCTATAACAAATCCACAGGTCACAGATCACGCACTGTCACTTATTACTTTGTTGTAGTACCAGCAATCATTTTTTACATATCGGTGATAGATCAGAGGGAGACGTCTGACAATAGTTGAACTAGTATAAGGGTGACAAATGAGAAGCACATTTTTGCGGATGTAGTTTGTTGTTCGCCTGTGACGTCACTGATCCCGGTGACGTCACAGGCATTAACGGTTATTCACCGAAATGCGATCAAACCTTTCAACCAATCCATCATGGGAATGACGGGATTGTTTACGTTTCTCGATCTCAGTGACGTAACAAGAAAGCTGAACTGAAAGACGGAAATCCTCGTGGGTCAACCTTATACACCGGTAGTTCAACCATGCGTCCGACGAGTATGGGAGCTTAGAGTTAACAACCCTAATGTATAAAATAGCAAATTCCTAGTAAACTACGGTCCGCAATACAGTTACTACCGTAATGTCGGGATACCCGCTATTTTGTCATAACAATTCCTTACCCAACAAAACCTTTAAAATAAAAATTTCAAGCGGATAATAACTGCACATTCTCAAGGATTTCCGCAGGTTCAAGCTGCCGTACCGCAGCCTGCGTACTTTCTGCCTAAACCATGAAATTAAAGCACCATAATTCGTGAGGATTTCGCAGGTACGAGCTGCCTTACCGGAGTCTGCGTACTTCCTGCCCTAACCATGAAATTAAAGCACCATAATTCGTAAGGATTTTGCAGGTACGAGCTGCCTTACCGGAGTCTGCATACTTCCTGCCCAAACCATGAAAATAAAACACCATAATTCGTGAGGATCTTGCAGGTACGAGCTGCCGTACCGCAGTCTGTGCGGCGGTGCAATGGCCATCACAGCGCAGCAGTTCAAGCGCGTCAACGGCTTCTCGAACGCCTTCGAGGGCTGGGGCGCCGAGGACGACGATTTCTGCAACAGGTTGCACGACCAGGTCTGCTTCGACTTCACTGTGTCCTTACAATTGTTTCGTATTGTGATTTGTCCGATTTTCTCCTTTTTAGCTTAGATTTGCATTATTTTGTAGAAGACGCAAATAACAATTGCAATAAAAAATAAAGCCTGTGTCACTTCTGGGCCTGAGCCCTCTTTTGCTGTTATTCAAGCCTGTGTTGCTGCAGGGCCTAAGTCCGATCTTGCTGTTATTTAGGCCTGCGCTGGTGTAGGGCCTTAGCTGAATCTGCCTGTTATTCAAGCCTAAAGCCTGTGTTGTTGCAGGGCCTAAGCGTGGTGCGCTTCAGCCCTGAGGTAAGCACCTACACGATGCTGCCTCACGCCCCCGCCACCGCGGCGCCCCAGCGCTTCACCACCCTCAGCAGCCGGGACCCCAGCGGCCGTGACGACGGCTTGTCGTCCCTCACCTACACCATCGTCGCCACCGACCATCATCCCCTCATGCTACACGTTACCGTCACCTGGTGATGACCATCCGATCATAGGTTACGCCACTACCAGCATTTTTCAATATTAGTTCTTATTAACATCTATCTTCATAGGCTACTAAGTTATCACAGCTAACTGGTCATATCATATATCAATTGTAAGCTAGCATCAACTATAGGCATTCCTTACTGTTCCCTCTTATTAATAGCTTTCTAGATAATTCCTCGTAAGTAAGCCGAATTACATTTATTTTAATTAAAAAATGAATTAAGTTAAAAGGATTTTCAATTTTTTCTCTGTATGTGAGATAACGCCTGTAATATTCAAACCGTGCCGTTTTGATCAAAGATTAACGCTATCACTATTTCCCTGCTATATATCATTGACCTTCTATTGATTGTCAATTATATGGATGCATCGAATCAATAATCATTCTTCGTAGTTTAAATCCTCATCGCGTAGCAAGATGGATGTTGTTTAAATGAGATTATGCAGCTTGTAATAAAAGTGAATAAATAAATTTTCGTTTATTTGTAAGGTTTATTTTTATTGTCATGAAATCAGAACATCGTTGACTTCAACTTAAGCAACTTTATGGAACGTTCAATCGTTGCTCATTTCATGGTCTAATTAACTCTTAACCCTCTACCGCCTGACGTGAGTAACCGGAGCAATATTGTTACAAGCCTACTTCCCAGAAATGATACCTACGTTCTAGTGAGCGCAAAATGACTTGCACTGATGGTTGCCGCCACGTAAGACTTTAAAATGTTCTCTGTTGCGTACAAACGTCCTCAGGTTGCTACACTCAATAGTTTACGTGTAATTAAAGTTGAAAGTTATGTTCCCGGAGAGTGACATACGGCGGTATAGGGTTAATGAGATAATCAGACCGAACAGATAGAATTTTGTTCTACCTTACCAGACCTGGTATAGGGTTGACAATAGCCCGAGTCAACATCGGTGAAGACAACACTTCTCTTCAGCGACATATACTTTGTGTATTTTTGTTTTATGAAGAGTAAAATATAGACTGAGTGTCATAGTTTTAGAAAAAATACTCCTTATCGCAAGGTTACCCGAAGTCATAAATAAATATAAATACAAGTCTTTATCTAAATTTGCTTTCAATAGATGTAAACACAGAGGATTATCATCAACAACATTGATGCGCAATCGTGTCCTGAGACAAATTATTACGTATAAGGAATTCTGTTGACGTGCTTACTGGAAAACTACGAAAATCAGGCAAAACATTGGCCTCGTACTCAAATATTTCCCTGTAATCGTGTATTTCTCACTTTAATTTTGACAGATTCATTGTCAAAGTAGAGCGCTATGACTAACAAGGGCTCAACTGGAACTAATCGGGTATCAAAGGAGTAAGAACATCGACGCTTACGATAATATCGTGATAAAGGCTGGAATTAAACGCTTCTGAGCAAACTAAAATAATTGGTTTTCCCGAACTATTAAGGATTTATTCTCGCAAAAGAATGCAGAACGGCTAGTATGTGATAGTTGATTTCCCCTGCCAATTTCACAAGTGAAAAGTTACACTTTTACGCTTCATACTCACTATCGAGAAATTTCCCGAAACTGAAATCAAGTATTTACTTGACCTCTGTTCGGATCAATACGCAGGAGCTGTAACAATACTTGATGCGATTGCAACGAAAAATTTAAACGAGATTCATATCGGAAAGTCCAAGTCTGAATCGCGGACAACTAAACCCACCCTAAAAACACTAGCCTGATTTAGTTAGACAAAAAATAACACCAATGCAGCTCACGAAACATAATAATAAATCGTTATTTCTCCTGTATTCGTCGTCGCAAATTGAAATAACGAACGACACTAGCAATGTACTGGCAGTGATCTTGGCTAAAATCCTCTACATATAAACCAACAATGTAATTATTAACAGGGAATACATTCAGAACCTTCTTCACCTCATTCATCTTTGATGAAATCATTAATATTCAACAAAATTATAACAACTGGAAGACTGAAAATCCAAGAATCCAGTTGCCAACATTAACGAGTGAAATAAAGCTGTTGGCAGCAGTTACTTCAACAAGTGAGTGAAAGAGTTCAGTTTATGTGCAAAGCAACACCAGTTAGATACCTAGGTAACTGTTGTTAACTATTTCTCAAAATATTTCAGCTAGCCACAATAAGCTGTGTCCTACAAAAATCGTATCACTACGTGAATCAACACTAAAATGAAGGAGCTAAAACATTCAGGCACCAACATCAGCACAGAAAAATAGATGAATAACCCTAATAGTAACCTACTCGTTTGTATAGTATCGTCATAAACGAACTCAAGACAACGAGTTGGTGACAAGCACACAAAGTAATCGCACAGGAAGTCAGGCAGCTCTACCGCAATAATATTCATTCTAGCAAGCAAATAACACAGTATCGAGCGCTATAATCTACAAAATTCAACAGCATGTCACAGATAATGAACGACTGTTATTTTTAAATAACAAGGTAAGGAGTTAGAAGGAATTTCTCAGTGAGATCGCTTCCTCAGATTCACCGCTACACAATGAAACTTGAGGTTGGGGCATAACTAAGATCAAACTAACAGAGCTTTTGCAACGTTAACTCTTACAATAACATAAGGTTCCTCTCTACAAGTCACCTATTATATAGAAATATTCTATTTCTTCGATTCCCTACATATTTTCTTGGAGAAATCGTCAAATCGTTGTTTGATGCCCCGAGACATTGCAATTTTTTAAATCCCTGTTTATGGTAAAAAGTTCCATTGAGGAATTCTGAGCTACTGTAACACAAATTATTCTTAATTAATTAAGACACTCCACACTTGTTTATCACAGAAAAGTCAGTATTTGCTGATTCTTAAATTTATCCCCGTCTTTTTAAATGACACTATATTTAGCACAAATGAAGTCAATCTTCATTGATCTTCTGAAGCACGATTTCCACAAAATTTTTGAGTTACAGAGAAACTAGGCTAGATGCTTTTCCTAGACTTCAAAATTTCATTATTTTACCTTCAACATAACAATACATGTAAATAAATATAACCAATAGAAAGCAAAGTGATTCTAATAAGACGAAAGGCTGATCAGCACGCACATAAATAAGTAAACAGCGATGGCGAAAAAAATTCTCAATTCAAGTATGTAGATCTAGAAGCGCAGTTCTTGAAATAAATGTAGTTCTATAAATGGACTCCTGCGAGAGATCTGAGACGAACTATACATGACTCACTTATATCTTGTGTTCGAGGCCTGTGGAAACTGCACAAACAAAATTCATTATTAGTTTCAATCGCGCTGACGACAATCAAGTGATCTTAGCCTTAGTTGAATGCCATTATTGGATTTCACCTGGCATACACGCTATGATTTCTGCATTCACAGCTTGAGATTGTCAAAAACTCAACTTTGCGTCAATCCATTATAAGTAAATTAATTTCTTATATTTGACAAAAAGAGAATAGACGATATTCACGGTTGATCGAACTCGATAATATATTCAGACGATTCTTATTGGTTAAGAAAAATAAGGTATGAGAAGGCGACTCCTAGTGGTGAAGGATCCTTCCAAAGGAAACGATTTTGAGTGGTAAAGGCCTACCGAAAGAAGAAACGACTCCAAGTAGTGAAAGAACCTACCGAAGAAAGAGACGATTCTTATTGGTAGAGGAACCTACCTAAGGATACGAAGATTCTTATTGGTAGAGGAACCTACCTAAGGATACGATAATTCTTATTGGATAAAGGAACCTACCGTAGGATACGAAGATTCTTATTGGGTAAATGAACCTACCGAAGGAGGTTACTTTGAGGAGCGGCTTGGCGCCGAAGCTCTCGTTAGGTCTGATGCAGGCCTCGGGAGGAGGGCTCCATGTCGACAGCGGCCGACACAATTTCGCTATCCTCTGCAAGATTAAAATGATGAAAATATTGATAATTGGGGATCAGCTCCTTATTTTCCACAGCTGAACACACCGGAACACGTGGCTGGTAAAGATTTATAAATAAATTACTTATGAAGAATAGAAAACACGAAATGTACAAGATAACAGACACAACCTACAAGATATTCCTTCTTCTCTCTCACTATGCTCCTCTAATGTCTTTGCCACCGTACCTATCAACTAAAAACTTGACACTCATGAATGGCACCTCTGTGATGATACCCCTCCCTCTTGCACCCACGTATATGACTTGTTTCTACCTCTATTATGATGCCCCTTTTAACATATTTATGACCCTCGTTTACCTCTGTGAGAGCGCCCCTCGTTTACCTCTGTGAGAAGCCCCTCGTTAACCTCTGTGAGAGCGCCCCTCGTTTACCTCTGTGAGAGCGCCCCTCGTTTACCTCTGTGAGGGAGCCAATCGTTAACCTCTGTGAGAGCGCCCCTCGTTTACCTCTGTGAGGGCGTCCCTCGCTCACCTCTGATAGGGCGCCCCTCGCTTACCTCTGTGAGGGAGCCGGTCTCTCTGCACACTTGGTAGAGGGCGACGACAGGGATGAGGGCGACGGAGGAGAAGGACAGCGCCCACCCCACGATGTTCGCCCACCGCGGGAAGTGGTAGTCGCCGTAGGAGGGCGCCTCGTAGAACAAGAACGTGCCCGCCAGGATGGTCTGCAGTGACCACCATTTTCGGTTCATATACATCACTTGAGGTTCATATACATCATATGCGATTGATATCCATAATCCGTTCAGATTCATATTCGGTTCATATTTATGATCGGTTCATATTCATATTCGGTTCGTATTCATGTTCGTACTTCGGTTCGTATTGCACTCATGCTTGCGAAGAGAAACATGGCGATAACAAGTATAACACCACACTGAATAAGCACGTCACGTAAATTTATTAATCATGGAGGCAGCATATAAAGGAAAAATGTATTCTAACTACGGATTAAGATCAGAAAGGAAAAAAAACTTTACAACATAGTTCAAGAAGCTGAACGTGCAAACAGTCGTCATACCAGAAAACCTTTATTCGTCTTCTTCATCGATATTTTATCGAATGCAACCGTGTGCATGCGTGTGCACTGTGCACCCTTAGTAGCAAAGTGGTACTTCAATTAAGGAGTATCCACTGACCATGAAAAAAAATAATATTCTATTTCATACCATTAAAAACAAACATTCTAGGAATGAATTGAAAGGCAATAGCACCACTCACGAAGACCATGAGCGGCATCCCGAATTTCCATATGTTGCGCCAGAACCACCGCGGGTAAGGATGCTTGCCGAGCATCAGCTTAATATCATCCATGAAATTATCCACGCCATAGATCCACGTCACCACCAACACCTGCACGAGCATCAGTAGAGTACGAACATAAAAGTAGAGTAAGAAACTAAGTTGAGTACGAACAGATAAGTAGGGTAAAGTATACAATGAGTATCAGTAGAGTAGTGTTGAGTAGACAATGAGTATCAGTAGAGTAGTGTTGAGTAGACAATGAGTAACAGTAGAGTAGAGCAGGAATACCAGTCGAGTATCACATTGAATAATCTTCACTTGGCTTCGGCGATAAAAAAAATCTACTGGCCTGAATTTAAAAAAATGTAAAAATGGCACTCATATTTATTACCAGTTCAGCTCGTTAATTAGGTCAATGTTTGGCAGATTTCTTTGTAGGAAATACTAATTTAAAAACCATACCTCGATGACGCCGACCATGAGAGCAGAGAAGGTAGAGCTGTAGGAGTCCATCATGTTGAGGACGTACATACCGGCCTTGGTAGTCATAGAGAGTCCTACGCTGAACATGACTAGACACGCGGCCAGCAGCCCCCATCTGTGCGGTACAAAGTCATGTCTTAAAAATATATTCTTATGCTATAAATTCTAAACTAAAATAGCCTTATGATCATCTACTGGTTCGATTGCATCACATTTAACGCAATTTGAATCTTAACGTCATGGCTCGTGCATTTGTTTGGTGCTCTCGTCGCAATAAAGTCGAACTCCGCATCGAATCAAATTAAAGTAAAATTTCATATCGAATTAAAGTAGCATTTCCAATCGAATTAAAGTAGCATTTGGAATCGAATTAAAGTAGCATTTAAAATCGAATTAAAGTCGAATTTCGAATCGAATTAAAATCGAATTTCGAATCGAATTAAAGTAGCGTTTTGAATCGAATTAAAGTAGCATTTCAAATCAAATTAAAGTAGAATTTCGAATCGAATTAAAGTAGAATTTAAAATCGAATTAAAGTCGAATTTCGAATCGAATTAAAGTAGAATTTCGAATCAAATTAAATCCGCACTTCTCAAAGTAGCACTTAGTGAAGTCTAGCCCATTCAGCGAGCCCCTCCCTCACAGATCCTACTGCAGTTGTGTATCTGTGTGCCATATAGTGGAGGGAGAAGGTCGCAACACCTTGCCAATGTTCAGCACCTAGTAGTGATCGAGTGACAAAGAGGTTACTAGCGGGCACAGGATAACGGGTTCGAACCCGGCAAGCTGTGGAAAATCTGAGGCGTGTCTTGAAGGCAGCGCTGGCCACCGGTTATAGAGGCCTGAGTGGCCATACATGTGTCTTTCTGATCTGTACCTTAGTTTACTTTAAACCTTGCAGAACTGCATAAATTTGCAACGCTGTAATCGTACCGATTTTAAGTGCAGATTTGCCCATGTAATCCGGCAAGGGAGAAGCCCAGACCTGACAAACTTACGAGCAGTGGAAGATGAGTGGAGGATGAGTGGAAGATGAGTGGAGAATGAGTGGAAGATGAGTGGATGATAAGTGGAAGATGAATCGAGGGGAAGATGGCACAAGAGGAAGCTCGGGTTCGTAGCGACACTCACTTGTAATTTTTCCCGCGCAGTGAAGGGAAGTCGTCAGTAATGGTCGTGATGATGGTCGTAAGGATAGTAAATTGTGTGCCCAAGCCCAGCGTGAGCAACATGGCGAAGAATAAGATGGACCAGGCTGGTGACACTGGAAGGCGGGCCACCGCCTCGGGGTAGGCAACAAACGCTAGTCCAGGGCCTGGAAAATTGGTCCTTATTCAAACCTTTTCATTAGGAAAAAAGTTACGAGTTCGATAAGAGTTAAGTTCAAAGTTCAAAAATAAGTTAAGAGTTCAACGGCGCAGGCCATCCTTTGACGGCTTTTCAAGCTAGATCCACAAATCACAGTTAAGTTTTGATAGTATGGCCCTCATACACTACTGACCGTCAGTAGACATAAGAATAATGTAATTAGTGCGTAATAAGTAAAGTACCTCACTAANTCGTAAATATATACGTAATATGCTTTAATGTGCTTTACGGCGTAATCGTAATGCTTTATGGCGCTTCGTTGGCAGGTTTTAGGCATTACTGAAATGATCTTCGTGGCATTTAGTTAAGATCATTGAATTAAGTGAATGTAAGGGGGTTATTTGGGATAATGGGGTTAAGTGGGGGGTAAATGAGGCTAAGTGAAGATAATGGCGTTGAGTGAAAATAATTGGATCAGGTGGAGATAATTAAATTATAAGAAGATAAGGGGATAAGGTGAAGATAACGCCGAAGAGTGAAGGTAATGACGTTAAATTAAGAAAATTGGATCAAGTGGAGATAATGGCGTAAGTGAAGATTAATTAAAAATACTAGAATAAGCTCAGGTCAAAAAATACAATCTTTCTGCATCAATTGAGCCAGTGTCCATTAGCAAGATACGCTCATTACCTAGGCAGCGGTTGTCAAACTTTGTTCACAAATTGTTGCCCAATTTAAATATTATGATATAAGCATGTAACTTCTTTCACAAATAATGAAAAAAGTAATATATACGGCATTACGGAAACTATCGTTCCTCATTTACTTCTCCAAAATTGATAGATTGTCCAAGTGTAATTTAATTCAATATTCCAAAGAGCTTCATTCCATTGAATTTCCCCCACACCGTAATTTAGTACAATTAGAGGGTTATTTAGTAAAAAATTCACCAAATAGTATTTAGCTGGATTTTAGTGTAACCATTGGGTAATTTTATTACAACTATTGGTAATTTTATTACACCTATTGGGTAAATTTGTTTATTATATATCCCGCATTTAAGAAACACAGCTCCAAGACACTTGTCTAGGTATCTTTCCCGACTCTAGAACGCAGCATCGATCGTCAGACTCGCAGCTCACGTGTAGCTTCCTCGTCTCTCGTCCCCGGGACCTCGATCAATACCAGCCAACCTCGGGACTCTTCCTCAGCAACACGAGAGTTCATTTCCCCAGAGCGTGGGGAAACTTCAGCCAGTGACAGCGACTCGAGAGATACATGTTCATTTCCCCATAGCGTGGGGAAACTTCAGCCAGTGACAGAGACTCGAGAGATACATGTTTATTTCCCTAGAGCGTGGGGAAACTTCAGCCAGTGACAGCGACTCGAGAGATACATGTTCATTTCCCCATAGCGTGGGGAAACTTCAGCCAGTGACAGAGACTCGAGAGATACATGTTTATTTCCCTAGAGCGTGGGGAAACTTCAGCCAGTGACAGCGACTCGAGAGATACATGTTCATTTCCCCATAGCGTGGGGAAACTTCAGCCAGTGACAGAGANCAAAACTCACCTCTAAACTTAAGCCAACATATAATTTCGTTAACTAAAAGTGCACACTTTTAAGTGGTAGCAGGTAATCTACTCACAGAAATGGCAGCAGGTAATCTACTCACAGAGATGGTAGCAAGTTTGTCCCACTGCGGCGTGAGGTAGAAGTAGATGCCGTCCGAGTAGCCAGGTAAGGTGGCAGCTTTGATGAGCAGAACCGTCAGGATCACGTACGGGAACGTCGCTGTGAAGTACACGGCCTGTACAAGGAAATATACGAGTTGCCTTATTTACGTTTTCCTTCGACTTGCCTTAATAATTTCACAACAATGTCCATACAATGTTCCTCATGCATGCATCATTTCACCAAATTCATATCAGTGTGACACATAATACTAGAAATTATATTGTTATAATTGATGTAAGTTGACTTCCATTTTATAATATTTGTGCGCACACTAAAGGATTATTGAAATTTTGGCAAAATCTGTGGCCCGTGTCAGTCGTCGCAACTAATACTAACTTGAAAATGCGTTGTAATCCATACTTCCATTTAGAAGAACTTAGTTATTCGAGAAACTATCACCCAATGCATCAAGATCTCGCACATAGAAGCAAATATAAGAAACACCTTCTCTATTCTGCCAGCAACAGATCACGTTTTCAACCTGAAAATAATCAGTAGGTATATTAATAATCTTAAAGATAAATTAATTCGACCACAAGATACTCTGGGATTAATGAGTTGCACGAATAATCTGGATAATGGTTTAATAACTTTAATTACTTTCCGCGTAGCGAAGGGAAGTCGTCAGTGATGGTCGTGATGATGGTCGTAAGGATAGTAAATTGCGTGCCCAAGCCCAGCGTGAGCAACATGGCGAAGAATAAGATGGACCAGGCTGGTGACACTGGAAGGCGGGCCACCGCCTCGGGGTAGGCAACAAACGCTAGTCCAGGGCCTGGAAAATTGGTCCTTATTCAAACCTTTTCATTAGGAAAAAAGTTACGAGTTCGATAAGAGTTAAGTTCAAAGTTCAAAAATAAGTTAAGAGTTCAACGGCGCAGGCCATCCTTTGACGGCTTTTCAAGCTAGATCCACAAATCACAGTTAAGTTTTGATAGTATGGCCCTCATACACTACTGACCGTCAGTAGACATAAGAATAATGTAATTAGTGCGTAATAAGTAAAGTACCTCACTAACCTTGTTTCACCACCGCGTCTACAGGCTGCCCGAGCTCGTGCGCCATGAAGCCGATGACGCCAAAAATTACGAAGCCAGCGAAGAAACTTGTCAGGCAGTTGCCGAAAGACACGATCACGGCATCGCTGTAAAAGTTACCAAGAGATATGATCACGGCATCGCTGTAAAAGTTACCGAGAGATATGATCACGGCATCGCTGTAAAAGTTACCGAGATATGATCACGGCATCGCTGTAAAAAGTTACCGAGCAATATGTTCACGGCATCGCTGTAAAAGATTTCGAAAAATAACTTAAAGATACGATGCAAAAAGTAAAAGACATCGATAGATATGATCACGGCATCACTGCAAAAGTCAGTGTTAGATTTTCGACTTTAAGTCAAAATTCCTGCGTTCCTTTAAATGTAATATCTGTTTTCACTCATGTATGATACGATTGATTTGGTAGGGTGTGAAATACGTATTCAAGCTAGCAGCTTATATGTCAAGCTCAACTATTGAACTCTGTATCTTGTTACGCAAATAAACCTATAAAGTACCAAGGCCAAACCCTGTTATACGAATGCAGCTACAATTTACCCAGTCGAACGGATGCAGTTGACTTCCATTTTATAATATTTGTGCGCACACGAAAGGATTATTGAAATTTTTCTTAGAATCTTTATACACGTGGTACGTGCCAAGTCTCGCAACTAATACCAACTTCAAAAATACATTTTAATCCATACTTCCATCTAGCAAAAATTAGTTTCCATAGATCACCCAATGCAGCCCATGAATCCAGATCTCGCAAATGCAAGCAAATATAATAAGCACGGTTTCTATTCTGCCAGCATCAGATCATGTTTTCATTCTGAAACTAATCAGTTACATTAGTAATCTGGAAAATAAATTTATTTGACCACAAGATACTCTGGGCTTAATCAGTTGCACGAATAATCTGGACAATGTTTTCATAGTTTTAATTACTTTCCCCGTAGTGAAGTTAAGTCGTTAGTAATGGTCATTCTGATATATGACGATATCAATAATGGCGATATGATATATCGTCAATAATGGTCATGGTAAGGATACTAAAGTGTCACAATAAATCACCTTGCCGAAGGAGTTAACTCCTTTAATAAGGACGAGGTAGACGACAGCCCATGCCACGGCGAGGGCACACACGATCTGCAGCTGGAAGCCCCCGATGTCGTGGAAGCCTTCAGAGATGTCCAGCACGTGCTCGCTGACACCGTTCAAGGGACAACTTAGTTATACTTCTAACGTACTTAGGAGTTAGCTTTCTGCTTAACATAATTCAAAGTTAGGTATCCGTTTCCAAATTCATTATGATAACATTATATTGTCATAGGATAACCAACCTCAACATCTCCGTCATCAGAAGCATTCTCACCAAAGTCAGTCTCCAAATGCGGAGACATGTAATCATCATGTTATTGAAGAACCTACATCAAAACTGTCATCAGCAACGTTTGTTCAAAGTCAATTTCCAAATGATGCAACATAAATCACCAAGTTATTCAACGATCCACACCAACATCTCACACATTCATCACTACACACACCAACATCTCGCACATTCACCACTACACACACCAACATCTCACACATTCATCACTACACACACCAACANGTCAGCCAAGACTCACTGGAAGAACTCGTCTGCCGGGCTCTTGTGGGCGAGGACGGACTGCTCGACAAGCTTCCACTGCTCGGGGCTCGTCGAGTTCATGTAGAAACATGTCCCGTTGAGCATCATCAGCCCGCCGTTCAAATTACATTCTTGGCTGTCGACATTCTTGCATACTGCAAATACAGATTATATTGATAGCTAGATTATTAGTTGACACTCATCATAATCTCAAATAATTCGATGCGTTTCCGTTATCTTCTGATCCATTGGCAGTACCCTCTCAGTCCTACAATTTACAATGAAATATTCGGCTATCGTACAACAAAGCTGACAGACTCGTTCGAAGACTGATCATAATAATACGTTAAATAATGGACTTTGAAAGTTCCAAAACATCACATTTAACAAGGCCAGCAATTAGTAAAAATTCAAATCTAAAGCATTTTTCATAAGAATTTTTAGGAGGCATTGTTTCTTGTAGGTGATTAATGAATCGTTCACTCACATTTTGTGTTCCAATCATTGCCACAATTGGTCCACGGTAAGACACTGGTAAACGATGAATAAATATAGTAGATAGCCCACGCGATGATGACGTTATAGTAGCAGCCGATGTAGAAACTTATCATGAACATCGCATAGCCGATGCCTGCAATGAGAAAAGACCGATGTAAAGGTCTCAATCATTAGCACGTAAAAACTCCATTAAATATATTTTATACGCCTCTTGAAGTCCACCACAAATTCCAGCATCTATCATCTATCATAATGAACTGTGCGCCAAAACAACAGACAAGAAAATAAAGTTGCCGCTTGGACCTAAACAAACTGTGAAACTTAATACGAAATCGAGCTTTTCCCACGGTCAAATTTGTTGGTAATAAACCTTTTGCTTACATTGCTGTAAATCTGCTCACCATTCCACAATTATAAAATAAAATGAATTGTAATGAGACACTTGCTTACCAATGGCACCAAACTCGGTCACGATGACCCCACAATGACAAGAAGCGCATCACTATTTGAACAAAGATTCATCAATTTCTCTGAATGAGCGAGCATGAAACTTTGCTAAGACATCAGCAGGTTCAACGAGCTGGGCACTGCTTCAAACCATTTTTCATACTCATATCCACCCTACATTTTTCCATGGAATTATGTAAGATATGCTATTTGAAACATTAAGGAACTACGAGTAAAGGATAAATTTTTAAAATTTTTATACAAGTTTCACGCGCACTAACTAACCTTTAAATAAATGGCAAAAATGACAAATTTTTCAGATGTCGAGGAATCCATCCTGACCATTTACTCACCATAAAATAAAGGATAAATTTACAAAATTCAGATGCAAGCTTCACGCTCATTAGCTCACCTTTAAATAAAGGGCAGATTTTCCAGACGGTAATGGGACCTTCCCTGCCGAACTGTCCCAAGGAGAGCTCGAAGAACATGAGCGGCAGCCCGCACGTGAGCAGCATGAGGCAGTACGGTATGAGGAAGGCACCTGCATGACGAAATATTTTAGTCTACCTATTGCTCTGTATTATTATCACATCGGAAGAACTATAAGACAAAGACATTAACGAAGAATACGAGTCTTTTATGTTATAATCAAGTTTCTTAATGGCACATCAGCGGAAGAGCAGGTATAACTGAACCCCAATGCGTATTTCAGCTCTTGATCGATCTAAGAACAACGTTCAGGACTCGTGTTCATGCGTTATGGAGCTAAATATATTAAGAACTGTAATATTAATGAGGTAATAAGAACGGAGGAGGTAATAACAGCGTTACCTCCTCTATTCCTGTAGCAGAGATACGGGAAGCGCCATATGTTACCTCCTCCGTTCCTGTAGCAGAGATACGGGAAGCGCCATATGTTACCGAGGCCGACGGCGTAGCTGAGGGAGCTCAGGATGAACTCCACCTGCCGCCCCCACGAGGGCCGCTGCTGCACCGCCGCCCCAGCATCGTCCCCGTCCTCGCACACGTCCGTCTGTGCACAGAACACGTCCCGGCATGAGACAGACACGTCACGATAAGGGGATAAGGGTTCCAAAGGCTGGATCCCTTGTGAATCAAGTCACGAAAAGTTCAAGAATCGGCAACAGGCCATGGGCCTATTTCTTCAACGCCGACATTTTTATTCTATTCTATTCTATGTCATAGGTCAGCCGTGTCACAAGGTCAGGTCGGGTCATGAGACAGACACGTCATGTCATGAGACAGACACGTCATGTCAAAAGTAATTTAGGAGTAAGACAGACACGTCATGAGAAGGTCAGGTTTTGGACCAGCCAGGCACCAGCATCAGGGAACGCAAGTTAATAAATAGCATAGCAAATAGCGCCAATGGTTCATCGCAGATCAAAAAAGAGATAAAAAAATATCCGATTAAGTTTGATTAGATTTTTGATGCTGCTGTACTGTTCAACTCGTGTTCATCATAATTATAAATCAAACTTTCAGTGGGATGTTCGATTGTAGATTCATTTGAGAAGTCTTATAGCAGAGCTCATAAATTGAACGTCTCCTGACAAATTAGAAGAGTTTGAGAGCTGATTAAGGAGTACACCCGCGTCGTCTTCATTAATTGCTAATTTCAACTTGGCGGTTTAGCCGAAACTTGTCGGTCTGTGACTGACAAGTTCTTCTGGGACTGATTTTCTATGTCAGTATCAGCGGTCACTTTTGGTCTTTTAACTGCACCTCTGCCTTCTTGACATCAGCCAATAAATTAAACGCTCTCAATTGTTTACATGAATACCAAGAGACCTCTCTCATTGATGTTAATTCATGGAATTCTGCATGAATAACGTCGTTAGTCTATGAAAGTTTTATGAGAAGGAATGTTTTGTTCGTACACAGCAGCCTTTAAAGCCCAGAGCATTTACGGATCAATTTTCCGCATTTTTCACACCAACATGATCGATGCCTTGGCACATAAAGAAAGATCATCTTTCGCCCTCACCATTCCAATACATGGAGTGATCATGAGAAATTAATCTTTAAGCGGAGACCGTCACACAGGCTGGCGAGATCAATACGCCATGCAAGGCTTCGTGACCACACAAAACACATGAAATAATAGGGTCACACTGCTGGTTTATCATGCTAACATTATAGCTATATCGCCTCGCTAACTAGCATCACAGAGATCATCGCTAGCTCTATGGTCTTGCTCACTAGCATCACAGAGACTATAACTAGCTCTATCGTCTTGCTCACTAGCATCACAGAGATCATCGCTAGCTCTATGGTCTTGCTCTCTAGCATCACAGAGACTAGCACTAGCTCTATCGTCTTGTTCACTAGCATCACAGAGATTATCGCTAGTTCTATCGCCTCTCTAACTATGCATCACAGAAACCAGCACTAGTTCTATGGTCTTGCTCACTATAGCATCACAGAGACTAGCACTAGCTCTATCCCCTTGCCACTTAGTATGACAGAGACTAGCACTAGCTCTATCCCCTTGCTAACTAGTATCAAAGACGCTATCACTAGCTCTATCCCCTTGCTAACTATTGCATCACAGCGACTAGCACTAGCTCAATCCCCTTGCCACTTAGTATCACAGAGACTATCACTAGCTCTATCCCCTTGCCAACTATAGCATCACAGAGACTAGCACTAGCTCTATCGTCTTGCTCACTAGCATCACAGAGACCAGCGCTAGTTGACGATTGGCAAGCATTGAGGACGATTAATAAGTATTTATCCGTAGACAAGAAGTTATAATAAGTCAAAACTCTGCGGCGTTCGACAATAAATGTTATAATTCCGACAAAANATAAGTCAAAACTCTGCGGCGGTCGACAATAACGTTATAATTCCGACAAAATAATCTACTGTATGTTTCATGATACACAAGTGAACTAGAATTAACGGAATGAATTGATAGATGATGGCTAGGCAGATCAATTACGTTACCATCGAGATTATGGGTCAAATTAGAGTCCAGCACTACAAGTTATTGGACTCAACCGCTCAATCATTATTCTTCTCGCGATGCAGCCCGGAATTCCCACTTGAAGGTTCGATAACTCGTTGTTGAAGATGTCTCTGTTCTTAACTTTTCGACTTAACTTTTGTCTCGAATTAAAGAATTTTAGTACTGAAAATTAATAACGTATCACAAACATAGTCGTTCTAATAAATTAATTTACGCTCTTATTTATAGTGACATGGGCAGGTGTTGAAAGCGCGCTTGTTCACTTCCCCTCAATTTTCAATCGCGAGATGCATGTGTCGATTTAGAACACAAAATACAGCACGTTCTTAATTTCAATTTGGTTTATTGGAGGTCCTCAAGATACGACCGTCTAAACGTGATATGCCTGATAAAATTTCCCGTACATCACAATGAAACAATTTCGAAGGAAAAATCATGTTCATACTATTACACAGGCGCCTTGAATGAAGCTGACGATTATGCATTGTGTGGGACGTGTTAGGAAATTAATCGTCTGCAATCAGTTTAGAATGAAACTCGCAAGCCTTTACAATGGAAATGTCGACATTACATCATTTACTTGCAGCAATGTTTAACCACATAGCCACACAAGCCACCTTACCATAAGGACCGTCAACACCACTGAAACGCTAGTATTTTTACAGTTTTCAAATAATACTTTCAATTAAACTACTTCACGCTCAAAGATAAATTTCAAAAGAATATCAATATCATCGGTGCGTTGGCAAAAATATAATATCTTTTATCGTGAGTTAACCAAATATGAACAACACATGTTGTGCACTAGAGATTATATGGAGAGAAACGGGTAAAGTTCAAGCACTTATCTTGAATTTATAACGCACATATCCTCTGACATTAGCTGCGATGCAAAGCTTGAAATAACTATCGCTTCTAAAGCTCGCTGAGACCAAATCAAATGTTTTGAACTAATGAATCCTATAAAAACAGAATCGTTCCCTTGCAACATCAACAGCATTCACAGTAAAAATCACAGTATTTTAAGAAGTGGTATCAGGAATGACGACGTGCACAAGAAAAGGCTCCTCTCAAACATCTTGCATTTTGATCTGTAACCATGCATGGTCACTAGCCAGAACGTTTCTGCAAGACTATACTTGAGCACCAGTATGTCAACAGGAAATGATTTAATAATAATCTAGCGGTGTAAGCTTTTATTAGACACTTTTGACCTGTAGCTGATTCATAAGCTTCTGGCCACCTCGCCGGTTACGACTTGAATTTTCAAAGCTTGTTGTGAGTTTCGAAACTCCACCTCGCTACTCAAATCTTGGTGATTTTAAAACTCGGCAATTCCGATGATTCTGGCAGCTATCAGGCCATTTCTTCGAGCAGTTAATGTGGCTCAGGCGATAATAGCGAGCCATAAATGACATGTTTCAGTGCCGTAGCGGTCATATGACACGAAATGGCCACGTGTAAGTATCGTGGCACAAAGGTCAACAGGGACATCAATGGCGATCAAAAATAATTTGAATAAATACTTATTCGAAAGAGGGTATGAATGATCCAATAGCTCCAATCTATTAAAAAAAGCGCTTCGTTGTGATTTTGAAAAGAATGCGAGAGTCGAATGAGAGAATACGAGTAAAATCGTTATTTAGCACGAGAAGAGCCACACTTTCGATATGAGACTATATTTACTCTTTGTAATGCCTCAAGTAACACAAAATGAGACTTTAAGTTAAAGTGGTATTATCGACTGCAACTAAGTGACGCAGGTTCATCAAATACCTATTGCTGAATACATAACCGTTTGCAACATATACATAGTCGTGGATGCCATGCTTAATCGTGTACATTGTACAACATACTAACTCGTATACGTACCCCACGCATCGTCGTAAACAAACTATACATAATCGTGTAGACAATAAATGGCCGTGCGCACTGCACATAATTGTCTTCACAATCGTCTTGTGAATTTGACACATGTGAATGTCGATAAATGATTGTGTACAATATACATAATCATGTAGATCAAATAGTTCTTGCTCATTAACAGCAGAACTAAATCATTTAAAAATTTAGACTAGGGTATGAGAGAATATTTTAAGAAAAACATGTAAATACTGTTGCAAATCCATACCAAAATATAACAACTGCAACTCTGCAAGCGAGCAGGAGAACAGCTTTTCAGTTAGTAAATTAGTAGAAACAACATATGAAAATAGCCTTCGTATCATCTCTGTTGAGAAGTAACTGAACTCCAAAAATGAAGTCGTATTTCATCAGATCACAAAATTAGCTCTATTTTCTAGCAGCGACTCACTATTCACTAAACGTCTGCCGCGTGTCTCAATGTGGAAACGCGGCACTGCAGTTGGCGTTGTCTAAAATTACATTATTACTGAAGTGTCTTAAAATATCACAGTCATCAGATGCCCCAGCATCATTATGGGGCGGATACATGAACTAGACTTTGGCACGACCGAGACCTTCCGCAATCACTTTAAATTATTCGAGGACTGCACTAATTTCACGTCTACGTAGACACTAATATCAATACGCAGAGACACTTCATACCATGGCAAAAACTCGTTGTGCGAGACAAGCTAAAGCTTGAAAAACGTAATTTCTAGCACGGAGACTAGCGCCCAGTGAAAGTGATCTCACATGAGCTACGTTATTAATTCAACAGGCATTTCCGATGACCAACAAAGTTTTATTGAAATGGTAGCAAAGATAAAACCACAAAGTGTTAAGATATCATAATAAATCTAGATAAGGATATTGTGTATCCTCTGCAATGCGATTTTCCCGCTACGCTTCGTCAACATCGATAACAAGTTTCCGGCACGGCACTGACACTAGTTTCAGGAGCCACCTGGTGATGAGAAATAATACTATTACTGCAAGGCGCTGCGTTGAAAAACATCCTACATTTTAGGTTGATCGTTCTACACGTTTTCTTCCAAAATTTTAACGCAAAAGACACACTCATCGTTATGACTTTGCCAATGTGAATGAGTATTTGTTGCTACTGTTGATTCATTTAC